GCCAGTCAAAGCACCAGGGACGGCCCCTGCTCCCATTGCCAGGAGTCCCACAAGCAGACCAAGCTACACAGCTGTCACATGTATGCAGAGGCACTAGACGGTCCATGGAACCTTTTGCTCCACGCTGTAGGGCTCCGGAACCGGTTCCTCCGAGCCTTGCTTGCTTTGTCATTATTTCCCATTCTGTTTCCTCCACGGTTCTAGGTCAGGCACTCCATCTGACTTGGATTCCTTGGGCTCAGGCTCCGGAGTCTTTCACCAGCCGGTTCTGGGCTCAGTGCACTGGGCGAGGGGGCGTTGACCCTGGTGGTGCCGGCTGGCCCCGGTTGGAAAGTGTCCACTGGAGCAGCTCTTGTCTGCCCTCTTCTGGGCTTTGGTGGATACAGCGCCTGCTCTTCAGAGTCGGGCTGCGCTTACCTCTGTATTCTTACATTGCCATTCAGATTTTCCAGTTATTTATAAATCAGATTTTTATCTGGAGTACTTGTCACGCTTTTGGTTTTTATCAGGTGATATTTTTGTATAGATGGTCTGACATCCCACTGACATAGTTTTCATTCAAGAAATCTAAGCACCAAATAAATGGGGAGACAATTGTTTTAACTGCCTCCCTCCCTCCCTCCCTCCTTCCCTCCCTTATTTCCTTCTTTCATCCCCTCTCCCTACCTCCCTTTCTTCCTTCCTTTCTTCCTTCCTTTCTTCCTTCCTTCCTTTCTTTCTTTCTTTCTTTCTTTCTCTCTCTCTCTCTCTCTCTCTCTCTCTCTCTCTCTCTCTCTTTCTTTCTTTTTTTTTGGTTTTTCGAGACAGGGTTTCTTTGTAGCTTTGGAGGCTGTCCTGGAACTCACTTTGTAGACCAGGCTGGCCTCGAACTCACAGAGATCCGCCTGCCTCTGCCTCCCGAGTGCTGGGATTAAAGGCGTGCGCCACCAATGCCCGGCTCCCTACCTCCCTTTCTTTCACTTGAGTTAAGTTAACTTTTATCTTAGTTGGAAGGCTGTTGGAGAAGCAATGTGTTTGAACTTTCTAACTATGTAATATATATCTGCATTTCCTTGATGGACATCTTCCCCAATGAGTCTTAGCCTGGTGCCTTCATCCCAGTACAGAAATTGACAAGAGCATATTTATTATTTATGACAGAATCTATGCAATGCCCAATTAATTATTTTTCCAGCAAGTAATTGCTATTTCCAGGGAATTTGGGGCTGTCCCATAGATCAGAAACTTCCCCGAGACTTGTTCATGTCACCAAATGATGGACCCAACCTTAGCAGAGCATTTGATTGGAGTTTTGGCTTCACCGTAGGTGACGGAGTTACTTGCTTCTGAATAAGTTGCCTTCTGCAGGTCGTCAGCTAACTGCCTTTGCATTTTGGTAAGCAGATACCCGTGCCTGAAATGCTCGGGTAGACACTACCGTCTTTTCATGGTGCCCTCTTGCTTTCCTGGGTCCACATGTTGAAGCCTCCATGACTGATATTATACATTCAAACCCAGCCACTTTTCTAGACTTTTCCAGACCTCCTTTGCGGAGGTCCCCGCCTCATGGGCTCCCTTTCTCCAAAGCAACACTTCTGTACTTTCACAAAAGTTACAGGCATCATTTTGTAACAGCCTTCAACTTTTTAGCAAAGAAAGGGTATTTATAAATTTGGGCTGCCATCTAACTTCATAGATGTTTATATCCCATATGTTTCCTGGAATAATAAGATCTTAGTGCCAGGATCGTATCATACACTTGTTTTTCCCCAGTTTCCAGAATGTTGAATGTCTATTGCTGTAATCAATAGATGAGCAGCAAGCACCGTTGATTGATAGGCTGTTGTGTCATTTATGTCTCCTATCTCTAATTAGTATATTTGACTGATAAATTATTTACAAAAGACAGATTGGCACAGGCCATCATTAACACTTCCCCGAGATATTTTCATGCCTCTATATGGCTTGCAGAACATGCCACCCAAATGGCTCTCTGTGCATGTGTGCACAGGAAAAAGGGAAGTCACATTAGAATCTGCCTTTTAATTTGTTGTGGATGCAGGATCGTTTCGAAACTTCGTTGCATTTTTTAAAAAATCAAACTCATACATAGCTTTCAGGATCAAGCAATTTCAAAAGGTGAACTGAAAAGTTGTACATCTCAACGTCTCATGCCCCACAATTCCCTGTTTCCTAGAACCAGCGTACTCAACACTTTTAATTGGTTGTTTTGACACGACCTTTGTGTCACTGCCAAGTCTGTGCCTGTCCTTTTTTTCTTTTCTGCTAACTTTAAGGATCATTGCATTTCATCTCCGATTATGTCTGCTAGTGCACAATTACTGATCATTCCCACACCAACACAGTCATTATCCCACTTATACTATGTCTTAATTCTCTCAGGCTAATTCTTAGTCAATATCACATTCCATCTACGTGAACACTATTTGCAAACTACTTCTGTTGTTTTGCATAGCATTCGGGATCTCTCAGAGTTGGTAGTTACTTTACTTTCCCATCTTCTGGTTTGATTTTTGTTATTAGTCAGTCCCAAGATGATTAATAGTTTAAATCTCTCCCCAATACATTAACCCACACCAGACATTCTGTCACCTCTCCTTTGGTCGCCTTTCCGGTGCCCTCTGAGCTGTTGTCACCTGGATTGCTTTTTGATTTCTTTTAATTCTAGTCTGACTTCACAATTATACTGAAACCTTTCTTCCCCTATATCTATGGGACTTCCCATTGTCACTTCCGGGTCCATATTCTTATTCCAAAGCCTCACCATTTTATTTTCCTCCTTGGTTCACCTTTTAATTTTACAAAGATAACTTTTTTTCAGTAGTTCTGGATTCATGTCAGGTGAATGTTTTAAGACTTCATTGGTTCATTCACGTTGGTTGTTACAACAAAGCACCTATGGTTGCATATTTTATTTTAAAAAGAAAGGTCCATCTAACCCACTTTTAGAAGTTCAAGAGCATGGGCACAGGCAGCTGCTCGGCCCTCTTGGTTAAGGCACAGAACAGTGGATGACATTATAATGGCAGCGTGTGTGAGCATACAGCCATATAGGAGGCTCTGCTGGAGTTGGGTCTGCTTTCTTTTATCTACTTACTTATTTATTTGTAACAACTCACCCTTACCAGATCCATGCAATGAGTATTCATTGCTTCTGAGAGCCATTTTCCTCAGAGACTTCATTCGTTCCCACCAGATCTAGTCCATTAGAGGTTCTACCACCTCTTTCTTACACGAGGTGATCCTCAGCTCTTAGGGAACAAAAGAGATCCAAACCATAGCAAGACCCTTCATGTCTGAAACATTTTTTATTCCACCGTACTGTAATTAATGAATTATTTTGATGACCATAGACTCATAGGTTGGAGATGACTTCCTACCGACCTCCAGAGCAATTTTTATCATGTGGTTTCACTTCTAGAGTAGAGGTCTAGACTCATCTTGAATCCCAATAGAAATGTTTAAGACTGTACATTTGTCTTAATTGTCCTGGAAATTAGAGATGACGAGTCTTAACATGCACCTACACCCATGTTAGTGGGCTGTCCTAGATTACACTGGGAAGAAATTTCTAGATTGTTTCTTACCTCTTTCTTTAATCTTAAAAGCTCTCTTTTCTGAAACTTTAATTCTTCAGTCATATTGGATACTTGGGCTGATTTTCTAAGTTCAGGACTTAAGAACTCTAATACACTGTATTCTTTCTAAGGTACAAGCTTATTCCTGCTTAGGTTGGGTTGGACATGACTAGGACTTTGGAAAGTCTCCTTGTGTCTTGATACTCTTTCAACTGATTGTTGGTGAGTAGTTCTAACATCATGTTGATGTCTAGTGGTACCCAGGACCCTGCAGAGCAAACTGGTCAGCTTCTTGAGTTGTTCCCACTGTTGGCTTTGAAGTCAGTATTTTTCCAGGTCTGTTCATTGAGTTCTCATTGGTTTATCTGTTTTCCAGATCTCTAGATTTTAGTCCATCATACTCTTCTCTAACATCTCTGCCATCAGTTCTTAATGTCTTTAGATATATTTCCTTTCACTATGTTTTTATTGAGATGTATGAAGGAACAGAATAAATGCATCCATTCTATCTACCATTGTCACCTGAAACTCTGTAAGCCTCTCCCCTAGCATCGCATGATTTTGTGGCAAGAATGGCGGGGGGGGGGGTGCTGTGGAAATATAAACGCTAAGGAAATATAAACAACATTTGCTGAAGTGGTGACAGGTGTTAGAAGTTGGGCACAGATGCCTACAAGTCTCCTAGATTAAGGCAGAGATCCCTGGAGAGAAGGAGTAAGAGAGACATCTTATGATTGCCAATCAAAGCGTGGCCCCCACTCTAGACACAGAGGAAGAGCGAGGGATGCACTCAGTTATTAGCAAACTGGTGTTGCTTGTGGAAGTCCTCTCTTGGGATCCCTGCTCGTGGAAGTCCTTTCTCGGGAGCCCCGCTAGTGTATATAAGAGAGAATATGGGCAACTGGCCCTTAATCCTCAGGCAGGGGCAATGCCACAGCTCCTGGAAACTTAATGACATCGGGCTTTGACTTTGACACTGTAACCAATGCTCACAGATCTCTTACTTCTCTGGGGAAATCTGGGTAGGGAATTGCAGCTGTAGGAGTTATTGGATCTCTGGGCTGATGCTCATGGGTGTTGGGAATTGTAATTTGTTGAGATAGTTAGGAGAGACTTTTCTTTATATGAAAGCTTCCTGATCAGCCCCCAATGCTGGGAGAGCAAGTTAAACTATCGGTAGTGATCACTGGACTAATATTTTCTTTTAATGCTTAGAATTAAAAACCTCTATGAACTATTACTACCACCCCTGTGGCCATCAAAATGGCTACTATTTATTAAGCACATATTAGATTCCAAGCACCGCACTCAGTGATTGACATGAATCCTCTTATTTCATTCATACATAAAACTGTTTAAAATAGACATTAACATCATTCACACCGGTACTCCAAAAAGACTTAAATGGATAACAGCAGCACAGCAATTCAAGGTTCTTTATCTGCATTGTTCATTCAAGTCTTAAGTTACATGAAGGTGCCTTCCATAAGCTCGTGTGTTTGAACACTTGGTCCCCAGATGGTGGTGCCATTTTGGGAGATTATAGTAGATTTAGGAGGTGTGGCCTATTTGAGGGACATCTGTCACTATAGATGGTGCACGATTTTTTTTAATAGGCCTATCTATCTAGGTTCTATCTAGTTCTTCCCACAGGGTCTAGGCCTACTGACATGGTTTTCAGGAGAATGTGGAAGCATTTGGAGCTCTAGAATGCTGTAGTCAAAGGTCAACGGTCCATTCTACTGGGAAGACCAGAATGCCAAAAGAAATGTGGACAGGGAAGACTATACTTACTAGGTCCCAGGAGGAGGTGGGTGGGAGGGGAGAAGGACTTTAAGGCCATTTATGTTATATTATGGTAGAAAATATGGCTGCATTCTGCTAGTGTCCTGAAAATTCGAATTAGACTGAATTCAAAAATTACGAATTAATTTTGTTGGGTGGAGAGAATTTCAAGGCAGCCTGGTATTCGGGCCGTAGCTTGTTTATTGCTCATTGCATTTGCTGAGATTTGCAACGAGAACTCAAAGCGGAAAGATATGAGATGCGGGCAGTTTGTTAAGGAAAGGGGGGCGGACGTGCCTGGGACCTGAAGTTGCAGGAATGGGTGCCAGCAAGCAGCCTTGGGTGGTGGAGAGATTGGGGCCGTCGAAGAGAAGCTAAGTGCTTTTGCAATGGAAGTACAGGGCAGCTGTCACCGGGGCGGACCCCAGCCACCGGAAGTTGCAGTTGAAAAGAATGGAGATTCCAAACTGACAGTGTCAACGGAGAGGTACCCAGCCGAAAAGGAGACCGATGTCAGGGTGTGATTTCCAGGTTCAGCCGTGAAGGCACAAAGATGCTGCATCCTCGGTGCCTGGAAAAATCCGAAGTCAAGACTTTCATCCTCCACCCCAAGCATCAACAGCCCGCAACCTCGGAGACAGTCATCTAGCAGGATGGGGGTCACTCACTGCTTTGCCCGCTATGGATGTGTGGACTGAAATTTACACAGAATGGCTTTGTCTCTCCTCATCCAGGCTTGAGGCAGAATCTCTGTTAATGGTAGGGCAGGCTGTGAACTTGTTATCCTTTTTAACCACAGAGACACAAGGGAGTCTCGAAAAATAAAAGCGTCTCATTGACTGTCCAGCATCAAGCTCGGGAAATAAAACTCCCTTCCAAGAGGAGAACATTGAATTAAATGAGGAAATTTTATTCCAGGATAACACTCCAAGGGGCTTTCCAAAGCAATAAAGCAGGCAGAAAACTATGAAGTGAGAGAAAGGTGGGGGACAGAGGAGGAAGGGAAATGTGTGTCTGCTAGTGTGGTTTCTGCTTGGCCTCTGGGGCACGAGTGCTGACTCGGGCTGTACTCAGATATACCATGGAGACCTGGGAGGCCAGCTGTCACTCCTGTGGCTCTGCCTCCAGTGCTGGTTAAATCCAGGGCAAGCCAGGTTGGGGTGGCCCCGAAAGCTAAGCTGCGGGGTGTTTCCTATACACTTGGAAGACTTCAGCACCCCCAAAGGTGATTATGACTCTTGTTTCTTACCATCGTGTGCTTCCAGGGAAGCGCGGTATTTTAGATATTTAATAACCGGCAAAGGAAAGGCCTTGAGTCATTGGAACGAGAGCCAGACTAATCAGAACTTCTGAGCCGAGCAGAACCCTCTGCGTCTAAGCAGGAAGAATGGGGACTGTGCCATTGATAGCAGATTAGTTTCATCAGAGAGGGCTCTTGGAATGTGCTATAGCACTAAACGTCTGAACAAGTTACTGTTTTACCGAGCCTCGTTGTCATCACATCCAAACAGAAGAATGTTTCCTTATCGGCGATTTGAAAATGTCTTTCAGCTCTCTATTGCTGGGTAACAAACCCACCAACAGGCTCAACAGGCTTAGGAGATGGTAAAGTTCTCACAGCAGAAGCAAGAGGACTTGAGTTCGGATTCCCAGTGGCTACATAAACAGCTAGGTTAGAAACCAACAGCCCCATGGGAAATCTCCAGTGCTTTGGGGTCCATCCCTGGGGCTCCCTGGTTTCCTGACATAGTGAAATGGAGAGCTCCATGGTCAGTGAGAGACTCTGCCTTAAGAAATAATGCAAATAATAGAGGAAAACACCTGAAGCCTGCTTCTGTCTCCCATTCACGCACACATGTGGACATTCATAGATGTGCATACATCAGACATATGTTCATACACACACACACACAACTTAAAGCAATGATGATTTATATTATAGCTGGATGGGCCAAAAGGCAGACTCGTCAGCCAACTTTTCCACTATAGGTGGCATATGGTGGTTTTCCATAGTCGATGGCTGAACAAATAGAAGAGCAGGCAACAGCTACCAACTTTGATGGAGCAAACAGCAGCTCCCAGACTTGACGGATGGAGACCTACTTATTGTTTTCATGTAGTTGGGTGGCTGGAATAGGATAAAAACCAAAGGTTGCTGGAGTTGAGAAGAGAAGGAACTGAGTGACCAACCAGTGTTTTCCACTTAAACTTCCAGGATGAGAAGAGAAATTGGAGAGAGGCGGAGTAGCAAGTGTTGGAAGTCCATTACAAACTATGAAGAAATAATTAGGGCCAGGAGAAACCAATAGTGAACTGTGATGAAGTTGCGTAAAGTAACTTCAAATGAGTTTGCTTGTTTCACAATGAGTCAAGAAGGAGAAATTGTCCGGAAGAGACAGTGTAGAGGAGCAAATGTCTTTGTTCCAACTCCAGACTGCAAGGCTTAGGGCTATGGAGAGGGAAACAATTTCCTGTGCTTGAGAGCCCTGTGGGACGGAGACTTCTTACACTTCTGGGAGCTGGGGCTGATGTCTGGGGTGTGTAGAGAGGAGATGAGGTTGAAGGGAAACCCTTGTTGGAGAGAGCGTGGCCTCTAGAGGGTTCTGTGCAAAGGCTTTGGTGGAATACAGAATGTGGGGGTGATTGCATTGGAGGTTGCACAGGGACCATGAAGATCTGCTTATGTGACATGGACTCATGAAGATCTGCTTATGTGACATGGACTCATGAAGATCTGCTTATGTGACATGGACTCATGAAGATCTGCTTATGTGACATGGACTCATGAGGAGCCACCATGACCCATCGTGTAAAGATGGTGGAACTGATTCTGCATGAACCTCAGAGGATGCTGTCATCAACTTAGAGTTTTGCCCAGCGTTCACCATAAATCACTCACTATGTGGCTTACGGGGTTGAGATGGGAAGTGGGCCAAGAGACTGGTGGATATCTCACTGTTAGGACTTGTGGGTTGAATGTAGGGTTGTCCTGTCTGTATCTTAGATGGAGCACCAGGGCTGTGTCTAGGGGAGAATCCTATGTGCAGGGCGATCCTCCTCGGTGGGGAGAGAGAGCCTTGTTATTAACCGAAGGGACTCCTCAGTATTCAGGTATTGCTCTCATGGATACTGTGTGACATTGAAGTGCTCTGATTGGAAGCAGTGGACGGTCGGAAGCCATACCAGTGTCAGGATTGTCATGCCCATACCACGACTCTGAAGGAAGTGAGCTGGCCCTATATCCGGATGTCAGAAAGAAAGATGGCTGGAGAAAAACAGAGGAGAAGGGAAGTTGGCAGGCTTGCTAGACACACAAGAGAAGATTTTAGTTATCCTGTGGGAGAAGTGACTCTTGTCTAAGCTTCCCAGGGAGTCCAGGGGAGGCCAGCCTCATTGTAGCACTGGAACAATCAGGGAGAAAGAGAGGAGGGCGGTGCCTCTCCACCAAGTGTTCAGGCAGAATGCTTGGTGCTTGGCAGCCTAAGAACGGAGGAAGGGAGATAAGAGTCCCAATAGTCCCCAGCTGGCCCTTAGGGACTGTAACGAGTTTAACTGTACTATCTAGAAGATATGTCTAAGTCCTAACTACCTAACCCCATGACTGTGACACCAGGTAGAAATAGGGTCTGCATGGGTGTAACTGAGCATGCGTTTCCAAACGAAATCATGAGTTTAGGTTTTATCATTAATTTGGGCTCCAATTCGGATTGTGCTATGGTCTATAGTCAATGCTGTCTTTTAAAAAGAAGCGGGACCAAAAGCTTGGCAGATCAGAAACGTAGGGAGATGGTCCTGTGAGGAGGGGGCAGACACTGGAATAATAAACCCACAAGGCGCCTTCCCAAGGTGGAAGAGGCCAGAAAGGAATATTCCCTACAGCCTCGGACTGCTGGTATTTTGGACTTTTGGCTTCCAGACCAGTGAGAGAATACAGTTCTGTTATTTAAAGCCAGACAGTTTTTGAGAATTTGTTATGATAGCCGAGGAATTTAGTTCAGCGGAGGAGATGTGGAGCCTGTGTTAGCTGCTGGATTAGTGGAGAGCCAGGCTCAAGACAGGCTTCAGTCGGGTGCCAGCTTGTTCGCCACAAAAGATGGGAAGGTTCTCTCTGGGTTCCAGGACTTGCACGTGTACCTGCCTCTCAGAAAAGTCTCTCCTTACCCTTTAAGAACTCATGCATATGATGTCTTGTCAGCAGCTTCCAGGAGATGAAAGCTGTCCTCTTCCCCAGGCAGAAGAGATTCTTAAAAGACTGGGCACTTACCTCCCAGGGACTCAGCTTGAAGGAGGCTCCATTAAACTGGAAAAATTTCCGAGAGTATAGCTGGTGAGCTCCTGCTTGGCCCTGTACCCTCGAGGAGCCGGACTCCCCCAAAAAGTTTAGATCAGATATATAAAATAAAAGAATGACTTTCGGTTCTAATCTATCTCACTTCCTCATCTCAGACAAGCAAAAGGGATTTTCTTTGGAGCCATGCTACAGCTTCCAGCCTGTGAAGAAAGTACACTCAGGCGCCAAAATGTCACGCGTGTGATTAGTTGCTAGGCTGCACGAGCTTGCCTGGGAGAGGTTGAAAGGGAAGCTGCAGACTAGCGGCATCAGGTGGTCTGGGACTCTAGGTCAATTACGTAACTGTCCTTTGCGTTCAGATCCGTTCCGCTTCCACCTGCTACTTTGCTGAAGGGACAAGTGAAATCCCACAGTTCAGTATGCTGGAGTGTGCAAAATGCTAATTGCTTTCCGGAGCCCGCAGAGTGGCACAGAGGGCGTGCCTCTCCGGAGAAGAGATAAGGGAGGTTGCTGCTCAGACTTGGAGTTAGGTGGAGTCCAGCTGACTCAGCGGCCCCCCCCCCCGGCAAATGCATGTCCCTCCTCCGCCCTCTCCCCCTCACCACTCACTGATTCCTAGCGTGGCCTTTCTCAGTGAGCAACGGGAGGATCTTCAGCGGTGGTGTATGTGAGAGCCATAATCAAGAGGATCAAGGTTTGTCTTTGCTGGGAGATGCTAATTTTAACAAGTACCTCCATCTCTCTGTAGACCTGCCATTCTGAGTTCCCCGTTAGACACTGGAGATTGGTCCCTGCACAGTGGCTCTGAGCTTGGCATTCAGCAGATGTTCAGAGGCCTTTGTTAATTGAATTCAGCCCATGCTCCACCCTGCTTATGGCAGGTCTGGGTCTCTAAGATCTAGTCTCTAGACCACTGAACTCTTGCTTTTCTTTCCGTTTCATCTTGCTGCTGGAATCACCAGAGTCCCCTGGAAGGATGCTTTGGCACTCCTGGTAGTTCTCTGGGTGAATGTTGCTATGATACAGTTCTTGTGAAGAGCTGACTGCTCAGAAGTGAGGGCAAGTGCTATTTAAGTTGGGTAAGTAAGAAGGAATGCTGATTTGTTAGATGAAGTTGTTAGATGACCATACTACTTATAAGGCAGATGCCTCGAATATGTTCTGTGTGCATGGAGTGTGTGCAGATTTTAGCTTTGAACAGCTGTGGTAGCCTTTTGCTATTTGATTATGAAGTCTTTCTCTCTTTTTGTTCATATATCTGTTTATCTAATCTCTATCATCTATCATTCTCTTATCTATCTTTCTTTCTATCATCTATTTATTATCTATCTATACTTCTATCATCTATCATCTATTTATCTAATCTCTATCATCTATCATTCTATTATCTATCTTTCCTTCTATCATTTATCTATTACCTATCTATATTTCTATTATCTATCTTCTATGTATCTATATCTACCAAATGAAGAGGGTAAACAGGTGAATATGTATTATATGTCATCTATCTATCTATCTATCTATCTATCTATCTATCTATCTATGTATCTATTTGCCAATAGTGTGTCATATATGCATCTGTCTGCCTGTGTTCACCACTAATCTATTAAAATTAAACTGACTCAGAACTTGAGGGAGTGGATTTTAAGGTATCTCTTCAGATTATGTGAAACTCTGGGGGTGACAGAATGTTGGAATGGAAGCCATAATCTCCAACACTTGTTATACTTGCACCTCTGAGGCTTTGCTACTTATTTTACAGCTTGCCTTCCATTAGTTTTCATGCAGTGTTGTTTTCGAACTCATTAGCTGTTCAAAATATTGTACCTAATTTAGTTCACAGTCACAGGGAGCTTAACCTGGTTATGTTACTGTCCAGTGGACAGTTCAAAGTGAAAGCTTGAACTTCTGAAGTTGGACAGAGAAAGTCATTTGGTCGGGATGAACCCCACTTACTGTTGAAGCCAGTGTGCTGGGCCCAGAACAGACCGAGAGGGATAGAGTGCCTGCCTCCCACACTGTCTCAGTCTTGTTTGTAAAGGTATCTACCATAGCATCACATGAAGAAACAATGAGCAAAGGGGATCCCCAGTAGAAACCAGCATGAAGCTCAGAACACACAGCAGGCTGTAGTGTGACTTTTCCGGGGACATGGGAACAAACATTGCTTCCTTCAGTCCAGCAGCATACAGGTGACAGACCAAAGACATGGTCTTACCCAGGTCTATATTAGTGAACTACAAACAAGTTACAAACAATAGCATGGGTGACTCGAAGGCGGTGTTATCATGGAAAGGTCCATACCAGCTGGAGATGACTCATGAGAGCTGCATCCCGGACTTCCATGCACAAAGTGCAACTTGCAGGCAGTGCAACGGCCATTATTTCTTACATAGCATAGCAGAGGAGCCGTGCGAGCCTTGCTTTCTGAGCCTTGTGAATCTTGTTTGCTTTCCGAGAAGCAATGATTCAATTAGGAGGAAATAGCTACACAACACAGGTATCTTAATATTTAAAAACATCAACACGTTGTTTGGTATGAAATGATTAGATAACATTTATCGTCTTTTTATGTGTAATATGTATCCTGGTGTACATCTTGGGGCACTGATCCATGTATGGTAACAGAGAATTCTGTTATTCAGTTTTGTTCTTTCTTGAAGGCCTGATTTGGGAATTACACTCAGAAAACTAATTCTAAGCTCCAGCGGACTTCTTCTGCCTACTGTTTATGTTTTTAAAGAGACTAACTCAAACTAGGAGGATGAGAAGACATTTTGTGAGCCACTACGCAGCGTAAGACTGTTTTGTGCTTCAGTGGTAATGAAACTCACCAGGTTTGCTGAAGGAAGAAGCCACTGTGAGAATTCTCAGTGAGCTTTTGGTACCACAAGAATCCAAATAACCCTCTGATACAGAGGTCTTGACTTACACTTTTTATCATTAAGGGGAGTCACCATCCTGTTAACATGCCTGCCACATGCATCCTGAAGATACAATACTTGTACTGAATGTAGGATATGGTTTCAATGCCACACTAGATATTATATAATGTAATACTATCATAGGGCTGGTGGAGGGGCAGTCTCCAGATCAGACAGCACGTGCAGGACTTGATAACAGAGTGTTAGAACATTCCTGGGCACTAAGGATTTTGGCTGCTGAAGATGGTTGGCTATACAACAGCCCTATAGTCCTTCTTAACCCAACAACAGAATGTAGAGCATTATTCATGTGGCCTTCTTGACTCTCTCAAAGTTAGAGCATATATAATCCTACTAGAGATGGATAGAGAGAAGTTGATTCATTTTATAGAGTAGACACATTCAGGCTTTAAGGCTAATTCTTTTGCAGAAACTTGACTGCAAATAGATATTAAGAGGAGATGTTCCTCTCAAGTGACTGAGGCCCCATTGATTAATGTGCATCAGTTCAGTCAATCATTCAACCATTCATTACTTTACTTACCAAGCAGATTCACATGGCAGTAGACACTCGCTTAGCATTGGCATGATATTTTAGAATAGAAAATTCATTGAATTATTGTAATATGGAAATGAGAAGTCCAGACATGTGGAATAATTTACTCCAAGGTCTCATTGCTCATTTAAGGCAAGACTTAGTACTGTGACCAAGGTTCCATAAAGAAACAATGGGTCTAGGAAATACAATGACATGCTATCTTATCATAAGGTCAGGAATAGATGACTAATTTCAATTTAAAATTATTAATAAGCTTATTTTTCTCTGCCCACAACCCAAAGGCATAGGTTACAGTCTTCCTATCTGTATTTCTCTAGACAGCTTTATGCCAACAGGAACATTTCAACTGGGAGTTCTTATAGTCCTGGCTTTGGCTTGGTTTGAGCCAAGGGAATAATTTGATCTAGGAAAGTTCCTCTTTCAGCTGTAATTCAAAGTACAAGGACGAGAATGCTGGCCCGTCCCTGGGAAAGGAAAACACTCGCTTGCCATTAGAACCAGCAGTCTGTGAAACTGCTTTTGTCACTATATGTGAAGCCAAACCTTTTGCTAACTCCCCTTCTAAACTGGGACGCCACCACCAAGAGGATACATACCGGGACTCTGGTCCGCTTGGAAGGCTGATTAGAACCCATTCTACCTTCTCTTTCTGCACTAGGACCTCGCAAACTTAATTTTCTCTTTCTGCCGGCACTGAGTTATGCGTCTATTGGGCTGGTACAGTGCCAGGGAGCAATCTGATGACTGACACACACAGCCCAAGTCCATCCCATTTAATTTGGATCTGAGTGATGCCAGTTCTCCATCTTGCAACCCAGTTATTATCACCAAGGTGACATTGCCTGGCATTTGGCTACTGGCATCATGCCAGACATTAATTCCTGTCCCAAGGAAACTCTTCTTCATATTCAGGACAGGGTGTAGAGGAGAATTATTTCCATAGTAACCAGGCTCCAAATTTGCTACCTGTGGATTTAAGCCTTAATTATTTATACTGTCAATTTATGCTTAATTTTTTTTACAGTTTTGCTTTTGTATCAGGTAACAAATCATGGTTGACGGTGGATACTACCCATGATTGCTTATCTATGGGCAGAGGGTTTATTGACCCTGATAAATGGTTTAATTATGGGTATAACAGGCCATAGTGATCATTGGAATCTGGTACTGTGAAGCTCTCAGTGTTGCATCTGGCCTGCATTAGAAGCAAAAGCTTTCTTAATTCTGGTATATCCTTATGCACTCCCTGGCTTTCCCCTGCCCTTTGTAGGGAAGGAAGGTAGGTCATCTCCGATCCTAGACTGAGAGGATAGACAGAGGACTATGTTCAGCTCAGCCTTTTCTTCTTAGAACCCCAGAGAAGATGACTCTTCTTTGTCTCTCCCTGTTTTTCTATACTAGGCAGAAAAGACTGCTAAAATCTGGGTTTCCTTATTGCTTACTTTCCTACAAACAGAATCCATAATCTTTCACCACACCTGTAGCATTATGTCCGTTACCCACATGATCTTCAGATTTCTCAAATGATTTTGAGCCTTGGTAGGGAGAGTAGTATTACTCATTACAATCATTTCACTTCTGACACAAGTCTTTACTGTAGTAGGTGTTTACTGTGTGACTCTGTGTATCAGGTACCCAGAGAAAAGAGATGGTTCCTGCTCTTGAAAAGTCATGGTCTGGGCATACTTGCCTGCTGAGATATCTTCAGGGACTTTTAATAAATCTTTGCTGAGTGAGAAACAATAAAGATCAAACACTATAATATAGAAAATAAGCAGTAGATCTAGAGGCCTTCCCTGTGGACACCTTGTAATGACCAGGTCTGCAGTCTTGCAGTTGCTAGGGATGCTGGATACTGGAGCTCTTGATGACTCTTCAAGAATTGCCAGTGGTGGAAGAAAGCTTCATCCAAGATCCAGTCCCTTCCCCAGGACAGTTTGCAACTGGAACAATATATACTGGGCTGGCTTCTGTGTCTCAATCTGAGAGCCCAGTATGGGCTCAAGTACGGTTTCTGTGACTCCGTGACAGTCCTTCAGTTCAGCCTCCATCCCTGCCCATTCCTGCTTCTCTCATTCTCCTGGGTGTCCACCATGAGGGTAGCCCCTGGCCAACATTCTGATGGGGAGTTTTCATTTCAGGCACCAGTCAAGGAGCGTGATCAGGACACAAGGGCAAACCACTGTGAAGCCACAGGGGAAGAGCCGTGAAAGTAGGGGCAGAAACTGGGGAGTGGAGGAGAGAGTGGAAGGCTGCGTGGATAGGGCTTTCTAGAGAAGGAAGGAAGGAAGGAAGGAAGGATGTAGCTGGAGTGAATGTGGGAATGTGGGATCCTGAAGCAGCAGGGACTTGTGTCTTCTACTGCATGCAAATCTCCCTCCCTTTGTTGTTGACCTCAATTACCCTGACTTCTCCAAGGGTGCAGTGCAGCCAGAGAGGCTGTGTGCCCAACCCAATGGGCTTGAATTGCAGAGCTGGCAGGAAACACTCATATCAATGAGGAAGATTGAGTGTGGAGTTGACAATTGATGGGTTTGAAGACACTGGAGGGGACAGAGTGGAATTTGAGAAGGAATGTCTGTGCAGAGGAAGGGGCAGAATATCACGTCTGACTCTGCCAAAGGCCAGTCTTATCTGGGAAGGGTTTTACGTCCACCTGGGGTTCCCTGACATCATGCCTGGGTATGTATGGAATGCCAGGGGTGAGGGGAGAAGCCACATGCCTGCTGTGGCCAAGCAGACTAGTCAAAACCAGCATCAGCTTCTTCTCCGGAAGGTGCCGGAGCAGAGGGATGAGAGTAAAGCCTGGGAGGAGCAATCTGCCCGGAGGACAAGCGACAGGGAGGATCCTGGTTGGTGAGGTGGCCTGGCTGATATGGGAGCCACTCACTTGATTTTCTTGGTTATTGGTGTAAAATTCTGTCCCACAGCCTGATATGCATAAGAGGAAAAACAAGACATCTTAGCTTTCTAGATGACATCAGTCATGCTCAATGCTTTTCTCTCATACAATTTTGTGAAATAATAACTCAATCCAATGACACTGCCTAGCTGGTACATGGCAGAAGTCATACTGAGTAGTCTGATTGACTTGTTAGTGTTTTACTCCTCAGTATATGTTTTTATTTAAATTAGAAACATGAAAGCTTCACATGTCAATCCCAGTTCCCTCTCCCACCCCTCCTCCCTTGTCCTTCCACCAGCCCTCCCAGCCCCCAACCCAATCCCCACATCATTCCCCAGGGAGGGTGAGACCTTCCTTGGGGTGACCTCCACAGAGTCTGTCATTTCATCCAGGGAAGGACCTATGTCCTTCCCCATGTGTCCAGGCTGAGAGAGCATCCCTCTATTTGGAATAGGCTCCCAAAGATAATTCATACACCATGGTAAACATTGATCTACTACCCAAGGCCCCAGTGATTTCTGTGGCCTCCTCACTGGCACTACATTCATGGAGTCTGGATCAGTCTCCTGTTAGTCTCTCAGCCATCAGTCTGGGATTCAAGAGCTCCCCCTTATCTGGTCAGCTGTCTTTGTGGGTTTCACCATCATGGTCTTGACCCCTTTGCTCATCACTCCTCCATCTCTGTCACTAGGTTCCAGGAATTCAGTTCAGTGTTTAGCTGTGGGTATCTGTCTCTGCTTCCATCAGTCCCTGGATGAAGGTTCTAGGATGGCATCATCAAGGAGGGGCTATTAATGTAGTCTCTCCACTATTGCTTAGTTTGCCAGTTGGTGTTATCCTTGTAGATTTCTGGAAATCTCACTAGTGTCAGCTCCCTCCTCAAGCCTATAATGACTCAATCTATTATGGTATCTCTCATCCTGCTCTCCTCTATTCTTACCTCAACTCAACCTTCCTGCTCCCCCATGCCTTCTTCTCTCCTCCTCTTATTCCCTTCTCTTTTTCTTGATTCCCTCTCCCCTCCCCCGATGTTCCCAATCTGCTCAGGAGATCTTGCCTCATTCCACTTCTCTGGGGTATCATGCATATCTCTTGGGAACCTCCTTGTTTCCCAGACTCACTGGCACTGGGATTGTAGGCTGACACTCCCCTGATCCATATCTAAAATCCATATATGAGTGAGTACATACCATATTTGTCTTTTTGTGTCTGGGTTACCTCACTCAGGATGGTTTCCTCTAGTGCCATCCATTTGCCTGCAAATTTCATGATTCCATTATTTCTTTCCTCTGAGAAGTACTCCATTGTGTAAATTAATACATTTTCTCTATACACTCTTCAGTTGTGGGACATCTAGGTTGCTTCCAGGATCTAGCTATTACATATAATGTTGCTATGAACATAATGGAACAGACATCCTTGTTGTGTGAATGGGCATCTTTTGGGTACATGCCTAAGAGTGGAATTGCTGGGTCTTGTGGTAGACTGAGTCCAATTTTCCTGAGGAATCTCCATACTGATTTCCAAAGTGACTGAATGAGTTGGCACTCCCCCCAGGAATGGAGAAGTGTTCCCCTTTCTCCATATCCTCTCCAGCATAAGCTGTCATTGGTGTTTTTGATTTTAGCCATTCTGACAGGAGTAAGATGGTATCACAGAGTTGCTTTGATTTACATTTCCCTAATGGCTAAGGATATTGAGCACTTTCTTAAGTGTCTTTCAGCCATATTAGACTCCTCTATTGAGAAATCTCTATTTAGTTCAGTCCCCCACTTTTTAATTGGATCCTTTGGTGTTTTGGAGACTTGTTTTTTGAGTTCTTTATAAATTTTGGAGATCAGTCCTCTGTCAGATGTGGTGTTAATGAATATCTTTTCCCATTCTGTTCTCTGCCTTTTTGTCTTGCTGACTGTGTCCTTTGCCTTACAGAAGCTTCTCAGTTTCAGGAGGTCCCATTTGTTAATTGTCGATCTCAGTGTTTGTGCTACTGGAGTTTTGTTCAGAAAGCGGTCTCCTGTACTAATTCATTCAAGCGTACCTCCCACTTTCTCTTCTAACAGGTTCAGTGTGGCTGGATTTATGTTGAGGTCTTTGATCCATTTAGACTTAAGTTTTGTGTATGGCAATAGACATGGATCTATCTGCAGTCTTCTACGTGCCAATATCCAGTTATGCCAGCACCATTTGTTGAACATGCTATCTTTTTCCATTGTATAATTTTAGCTCCTTTGTCGAAAATCAGGTGTTCATATGTTTGTGGATTAATCTCAGGGTTTTCAATTCGATTCCATTGGTCTACCTGTCAATTTTTGTGCCAATACCAAGCTGTCTTCAGGACTATACCGGTTCTTAAAACCCTTCTTTTGTGTAGGAGAAGAATCAGCACAACACCTTGGGTTATTCAGTTGACTGCAACTAAGTTTTGTTCTAAGTAATTTTGGAAATGACCAGAAACAAAGTTTAAACTCGCTTAGGCAATGCCAAAGAAGGGTGGTTCTCCTGGTCTCACAGGAAACCTCTGCCTCCTATCTGTAGAAGGAACAGTTGGAATTCTCACTTCCAACTCCAGTTTTCCTACTTGGGCTGCATCTGTGGGATGATGGGACTGCTTGTTGCCACCTTCAAGATATCACCTATAATAGAGAAAATTTGAGGGCGGTCTTGTGGTGAACTTGTAACAGTGGCCACACCTCCTTCGATGTGGCCTTGGGCAGACAGAAGGGGAAAGAGGGAAGCTTGAGGCTTGGCTTTCCTTGGTGCTTTCTTTCTGGCGGGTCAGCCCATCTGGTAGGAAGGGTAGAAAAATACTCCCATGGTTCTTTGTGTTTTCTGTGTAAATGTTCCCCAATAAACACCCATTTATTATCTATCTTGGGTCTAGTGAAATAATTAAATCCTCGCTTTCAAGGGCATGTGGAATAAAAATTTCAGGATGCATACATGCATGTTTATTTTGGAAAACAGATGCAAATGACAACAACCTTACATCTTTCATGGCTCAGAATAATCCCTGCCTGGCACCCCCAAAGCTCCCCTTACTTGGATTAGCCTTGGGGTAACCCTCTGCCATCATCTTACCTCACACTTATGGTCTCACTCAGCATCCTGAGTCAGAATCCCACATTTACCTGATAGCTCATAGTCAATTCTGGGTCAGTCACCAAGATGGAATTAAAGTAGCAATAGATTAATTGGGGACCGTCTGTGAAGACCAAAGGAAAGGAGACTGGGTGCTCAAAGGGAACTCCAAGATGCTCCGCTGGTCTGATTCCTGTGGAATTAGTGATGGGGAAAGATGGGGTGGAAAAGCTAAAGACTGTTGCATGAGAGTTTTGACCACACCAGTGGAGAGTACCGAGCCAGTGCTGCTCATAAGGAAATCCCCATCATGGGTAGAAAGAGGCTGATTGCAATGGCTGGCTGGATTCAGCATAGGCAAAATATGACCTTGGCATTCATGGAAGTCCGGGCCGAGCCTGCCAGTCATGTTCACTGCAAGTCCTCTCAAAGATCCAAGAGTTGCCGGGAGTTGGTGGCGTCCGCCTTTAATCCCAGCACTAGGGAGGCAGAGACAGGCAAATCTCTGTGAGTTCAAGGCCAGCCTGGTCACAAGCATGTAAAACATAGGGAGGGGGGAGCAGGGAGAATAAAAGAGCTTGGGGAATTCCAAGTCTTCAATGTTGGAATTGGCTGCCCCTCTGGGTTAAGGTCCAGAAAGGGCCAAAGTATGTATCTAGGCTAGGGGTTACTACTTCCTTAGATATTGCTGAAATATTATGCTACACAGAATAGGGATGTCCTAAGATATTTTATTAAGGGAGAAGTCACTTATGTGGGAAGCCAAGAAAACCAAGAGCCAAAGGTTCCGAAGCTACTCTCCAGACCGGAATGCAACCGGAGCCCAAAAGAGAGCAAGTCTCCTCCCCCAAGCTCTTTTATCCATACCCTTACATTCTGCGTCCTAGTGACCACGCCCAAACGCTCTGTAACCGATTGACAATATCAAGGCTTAACAGTACAGAAGGTTATTTATTACCTTGTGTGGAGTCCACTGCGAACCTGCGAATCCCCTGGGCGTTTTCCAGGTGGTGGCTCAGAAATCTGGGTTTTGCAAGTCATGAGTCAACAGGTGCCTTGGTACCTGTGCCAGAAGAACACGGAAAGCCAAACTTCAGTTCTTAAGCGTGCCCAGCAGACCAAGACTCACAGTGACTCCATTCATGTTTCAGTGGTGAAGGAAGGCATGTGGCTTCACCTAATCCCAGAGAAAGAGGAAGGTAGGCATTGCCTCCTGGAACCATTGGTGAGTAGCCCATCCCCCATCCCAACCCGGAACTGACCTTCGACTCAAATTTCCTAGCCAGGTGCACAGTATTTTAATTCTTTGCCTCCTGCTTCTGTTTTCTAGTAAATATGTTTCATTTATTTTTGCACACTGACCACAGTTTCCCCTCCCTGGAAACTGCCCACGTTAAGGCTACTTTGTAATGATTAATTGCTATCCTGAAAACATTCATTTTTCTCCACCCCTTTATTCCACCTTATCTCTTGTCACAGACCTACTCCCTATATCTTCATGTCAGTATTGAATATAGAGGCTCAAGGGATGCTAAGCACCCCAGAGGAAGCCATCACTCATAGGGGTAAACACCCAAGCTGGCTCACTCTCTACTGATTGGCGTACTCTTCTTTCTGTTGAGGTTTTGAAAGTGAGACCTTGTCATCAGCATGGACAGTGCTCCCTGCTCCCCAGGGGTGTTTTCTAGTAGAAGCTATCTTAGATTCACTTAGGCCTCAGACCTCCCTGGATTTCTCACTTTTATATGACACCAAATCCATACATTGGCTCTCTGGGGACAGAGACCATGGCCTGCGTGACATGAGAGAGAGACAAGATGATTAAGACCATAGACACGGGAGAACCATTGGCTGAGCAGAGAGAAAGACACAGGCTTGGCTTATTTACACAGCAGTAACTCCCCAGCCACTGATGGGGTCCGGCAAAGGTTTGAGAACTTGTCTACCATCTAGCTATGGTCTCCTGGCTCAGTGAGCTGATACTGATGTCTCCAACCACCTGTATACTATTCATAAGAGCACAGAAGGCCGCTAGATGTTTGGAGCTTACAACTAGTTACACAATGAGCTGCTCTCTTCCAGCCCAGGCTGGCTGCTCGTTTGTCTTAGGAACTTTGAAGAAAAAAAAAATACGGATGCAAAATCAGGACACCAGTGTGCATCATGAGGTGAATGAAAGATGACATTACTGCATTTCTGTTTTTGTGCCAGGCATAGATATCGCAGTTATCTTACTTAACCTTAAAAGACTGTGGGATAGAGGCTTTGAATGTTTCTAGCCCACCAACAGAGATTGACTAGCTCAAGGGCAGGTGTTCCTTTCCTCCATTTTGATGTATCTCTATTGCCTACACCAGGGTACCGTAGACAGGAGATATCCTGGGTGTATTTGCTGAAAAACACATTCAAAGTCACCGATTGAGCCGAAGAGAGGCAGAGGAGCCAACAGAGGAAGCCAGGTAGCCTGGGTTCAAGGCTCTCCCTCAGACATGCTGTATGGTAATGTAACCTCTTGTCTATCTTTGAAACTCATGAATTCTGATGCATACAGTGTCTGCTAATCATGCTTTTCTGCTACCTTGCCCTGGCCCTGCGCTCCAGATTATAAACACCCAAAAGTCCGAGATGAGACCTCGTTTCTTCCTACACTGCTTGGTCCTGCAAAGCTGGGTAACCAATAGGTGTGAACGCCATGTTGATTGGTTGTCCAGCTACAGTGTCCTCGAGGATGGATGAGGCAGTCACCTTTGGCAGCTGGTTTGAACTTCTTAGGGGGAGTTCCAACTGTCCACACCCCTCTAGGAGGACGTAGAACCCTCAGTGCAGTTTCATTGTTCCACTAGGGGGAGCCAAAATGCAAACAAAACACCTCTCTAGCCCCGCTGAAGCGGTGGCAGCTTGGGGCAACCCTAGGAGGAGACATTGACTGGGCTAACCTTGGAGAACTCAGTTACATGCTCCTGCTTGCTCTGCTCTCTGCTTTCTTCTTGCTCCGTGACAGCTTTTACAGTCAAGGTATTTGGAACTAATTCCAATCTCGCGGAGCCACGACTCCTCAGTTCTATGAGATCCCTGCAGCTTCTGACCCAGCTGAGACATATGGTTTTGTCTCAGGAGTGGCTAGGAGAGACTCTGAAGGGCTTCCAGCCTAGAGGTGAGGCTGCTCTGGTTTTACAGGAGGAAGCCTGAATCAAGGTCTAGCAAGTGAAGGGAACCCCATCTTTCTCTGTCCCCTTCTCTTAAAATGCAGGGCCTTTGCCACTGTCATAGGTCAGAGATGCCATGCAAAGCCGAAACTTCCTTTCCTTTTTTCCCTGCCTCCTTTAAAAAAAAAAAACCTTTGGAAGTTCTACAGCTTTATACAGTGTAGATTGGCCACCTCCCTCCAGCTCCCCCAGTGGCCCTTTGTCTCCCTCCCAGCCTCATGTCCTCTTGTTTTAGGTTTTATTGCTAACCTTCTGACTCCGGCTAGTGCTGCCCGCATGCACATGGATGTGTGAACATCACCAGGGCCTAGGCAACCCTACCAACAGCCACGCCCACAATGGAAGGGGACTCTCCCGCAGCAGCCAGCAACTGCTCACAGCTTCTCTGATAAGGGTGGGGCCTCAGGGTCTCTCCCTCATCCACACCGGAAAGTTGACAGAGCTGATTTGTGCAGGTGCACGAGTTGCATGCATCCGATCCCAACAGCTGTGCATTGTACGGAAGCCATGGCTTTGAAGCTTGCCTCTCATTCACCGGCTCTTACACCCTTTCCACCTTCTCTTCCCTGAAGTTCCCCGAGCCCTGGATGGTTGACATAGGTGACCATCTACAGCTGAGCGCTCAGAGTCACTTATACATGGCACACTGACCACTTACGAGTCTCTACATTGGCTACTACCCTCTGCAAAGAGAAGTATCTCTGGCCAAAAGTTGAGAGTAGTACAAATCTGTGGACACAAACACACCTATTTAGAATGCAGTTTGGCAATATGACCATTGACCAAAACAATAGTAGGTTTCTCCTGCTCCAGGGCCTGTGATATTCCCAGCTATTGGCTTTAGACCAGATTTACAGTGCTAGGGTGAAATCCCCCCATATGAAGCAGGCCTCATATCCAATCAGGAAGTGGTTGAGGAAATGATGTAATTTTATTTTAATTAACATTAATAATAATAATCTTCATACCACTATTGTTAGTAGATCAGTAGAGTCTGGTGCTGGGTGAGATCGTTGATGTCTTTTCTCTTCCAGCATCCTGTATAGTGACTTCTGGCACCATGCAAGCTGGCCAGCAGGCAGAGAATTTCCTGTGAGTTTGAGGTTGCTTTCTTTCCCTTCTTATCATAATGAAACTGGAGACTTGTTTCTTGCAAAAACAACCTGGCTTGTAGAGACAAGAATGATCTATTTTGACAACTTACCTGACAGGGATGGATATATTTGTGTAATGTTGGGCAGTTTTATTTTATTAGTTTGTTTTAGCACTGCACTGCGGATGCCTTTTTCTATGTTTGGACAGCTTGCAAACATGCTGCGAGCACTTGGGAAAATTCTCAGCTAATGTATTTTCTGTAACAAAATCTGATGCAGAGTTATTTCTTCTTTTCCACAGTTTCTAATTAAATTGTCTGATTTACTTTTACTTTTCGTTGTGGAGATGGTATATCTTTTCCAACCTGATGCTTTCCTTAAAGAAGAAAGATGGATGGTCTTAATGAAAGATATTTATTCTGTCGAGGTGTGCTAGTGAGTTTTCTCCATGCTGTGATGCAACTATTGATGAAAGAAACTTAACAAGGGAAGGGATCATTTTTGGTCACAGTTGGAGGGGAGAGTCCGTCATGGCAAAGTTGGTACTGGTGAGGGCATTTCAAGCTGTGGTGGCAGGGGTGTAAGATGTTTACTTATATAGTGTTGGGGGGTGTCTTTCTGTATATATGTTTCTCTTATTGATTGATGAATAAAACACTGATTGCCTAAAAGCCAGGCAAAAAACATAGGCAGGGCTACCAGACCAGGAGAAGGCTGGGGAGAGGAGGGCAGAAAACTGCCACCAAGAGACACCATGTGGATACCGGGAAGATAGGACACGCCAGGCGTTCTCTGGTAAGATAAGGCCATGTAGAAATACATAGATTAGTAGTTATGGGTAAACAATTAAGAGAGAGCTAGCCAGTAAGAAGCCCTAGCCATCAGCCAACAGTTATAAATTAAGTCTTTGTGTGTTTATTTGGGGCAAAGCAATTATGGGACCAGGCAGGACAGAAACCTCCATCTTCAATGTAGTGTTTGCATCAGGAAACAAAAGAGAGATGAACAGTGTGCCCAACTGGCCTCCTCCTTTCCCCCATTTTCATTCAGTCCGCAACCCTACTCTATGAGATGGTGCCATACACAGTGGGGGTAGGTTTTCCACTTCAGTCAAACCTTTGCAGAAATACGGTCATGGACATAGCTGGAGGTGTGTCTCTTAGTTGAGTCTACATTCATTTAAGTTAAGATGAAGATCAACCACCAGGAGTAGCCTAACAGAAGTCTTGGAAATACTGTATCAGTTAATCAGTTACTTTTCTGTTGATGTGAGAAAGACACCATAGCCAGGGTAACTCAGAAAAGGGAGTGTTTAAATTGGCTTCTAATCCTAGATGGTTTAGGTCCATGGTAATGGTTGAGTGAAGGGATGGCAGTGGTAACAGGTGAGATCTCACATCTTAAGCCGTAAACAGGAGGCAGAAAGTGCATACAGTGGGGATGGCAGGAGGCTTTTGAAACCTCAAGGCTTCCCCTCCTCCCATAAGGCCGCACCTGATCTTTCCCCAACAGTTCCACTCACCAAGTATTCAAACATATGAGCTGACAGGCTGAGTGTCCTTCAAACCACCATAAATGCTCATCTAGATTAGGATGGACTCAAACTCTATAGTCACTCGGCATCAAAGATGGGCACTGGATTCTGACTGGCATCGAAGCCAGGTTGGTTTAAACTATTCCATGGCATTTCAGCTAGAGCTTCTCTCACTGACCATGGGCATTTAAATATGCATGGACTGTGTTGCAGAATGGCGGTGACTCGCCTTATTAGGAAGCTGGTTATTTGCAAAGACAGTTACTGGCGAAGCTGGGCAGCTGCAATGTTGGTTAGTTGCAAAGGTGGGCAAAGCTGGATGGTTGCAAAGTGTCTAGTCGTCACTGTTCATCACACACAACTTTTAGGTATGAACCGAAAGGGACTCTAGTGTTTTTCTTCTCCTGGCCTTTTGTTTCTGTATCAGCTTGGCAAGAAGAAAGGTTGAGAGATGAAGCAAATCAGGCTGGGACATGATACAGAAACTTTGACTGCTGTATGATGAAGGTGATACGTTCTGGTGCCTCCGTGCCTGGGAGCAGCAGAAGGTCTGAGAAGCTATGGTGAATAGTTCAGAGCATCCGTCTGCACACCCAAGGACAGATATGAGGTTCTGTGTCCAGGGACAGAGGGCACGCCCAACAATCCCGCGTCATCAATTTTAATGTGACCATTGGAGGGCTGACACTAGGAAACTCTGGCATAGTCCACACTCTTTACAATCTCTAAGAACTTTCCACATATTATCTCTTTAGTCCATGCTTCCTATATCAGCCACGGATGTTGGTTACTGACTCACATAAATATTTTTGGGGAATCACACACAGGCAAGCCATACGACACCAGACCAGAGCTGCCCTTGAGGCAGATGGGTTGTACGGCAGTTCTAGATTCCTCAGGCCTAGCCTTTGCCCTGATAAAGCTATGACTTTTAAATTTGTGTTCCTGGGCTCAGGATGTCTGAGTGAACCAGCCTGAAGCACATGTATCCTTGTAGATTGGGGGATTGTTGGGGCATCTGGTCTGAAGTCCTTCCAAAGCTGTTTCCCTGCAACATCTGTGTACCATTGAGAGGAGAAGTCAGACACAGGTGTCCCATATAAGCTTTGTGAGGTGGGATGCATGATGTAACAGTTACATCTACAAGAGAACCATGAGACCCCTAGGGGTGAAATGAGTTGTGCAAACACAGACAGTCACATAGAGGAAGGAGTGCAAGTCATCATGGCTTCAGGTCCTTGCCTCCCCACTCAGAAGGAGAGATGAATTTTCTATTCAGCACACTGCCTTCTCCTTTCTTACTTCAGGTGCCACTTGCTTCCCACGCATCCTCCACAGGAGGACCGTTGTTTGTCATTCCTGTTCCACTTCTGGACCCCCAACTTTCAAATGCCAATGTATTTTACCCAATGGATCTTAATATTAAAAAAAAATCGTTGCCATTTGGTGTTGTGGAACAAGTACTATCCCAGTTTTACCCACTGATTAGCATGTTGGGGATGGATCTGGATTCCACTGGAAGGAAAAGCCTGGAGGGAAATTGTGTGTGACTGTGGATTCATGGCCCCATTCTGATGATACTTAGAAATCAGTGAACCTTTAGGGCCAATGGCTAAAATAAACAGATAAACATGCACTTGATTGTTGGTAGGAAAAAGAGCCCACATTTTTGTTGCTTAGCTCCAGAATAAATCATTAATGGTACCTGGTATAATTTATATTCCCTGAAGGCTCTACATCTCTGGACCCAGTGAGAAATCACTCCATGATCTATTAGTGATGCCTGTTACTATTAGTGACGTCTATTAGTGAAGTCTGCTGTGAACACAGGAGTGGTGGTGTGTGTTGTGGGTCGGAGGACCCTGATTGAAATTCTCCATGCTCTTCTCCCAACCTCCCGTTTAAAATTTATCTCCCTTTCCTCCTCCCTACTTCCTCCTTTCCCTCCTTTCTTCCCCAGTTGGTATTGCAATGCAAAGAAAAAAGGAAATGGCTGAACTGTTTCTACATATGTAAGGCCAGTGTATAAAGCAGCTAAGAACTGGGTTACCGTAGGGGAGTAATGCAAGAGCCTCCAGTGTCTGCTGTGGTCCCAGGGCTCTGCTTTGGGGTCTGTCCATTGGGGGCCGATGTGTTAGCCACGGCCCACTTCCTGCTGTTCCCTGGAAACGCCCATCTCCCCTACTGTTTGCTTTGTTTCTTCCTAGTCCCTTAACGGATGTCTTGCACAGTTTTCAAGATCCTAGAGGTCCACTTTTACCCCCAACCCTCTCTACCACCCTCTTACATTATGTGAAAGAAACATAGTGTTGTTTTTTTTTTTTAAACTCCCATCATGGCTTTTAGAACTGCTCATCTGCATCCAGCCATGGAAGCTTCCATGTAGGTAGGTCTGTGCTTAATGAGGAAGTGAGACCCACTCAGTTAATTCTAGCAAAGGTGGGAATGCATTTAAACATTGGTTTTTATTTTGTTTTACAGGTGTTGACACCCCCCTGTGTGTGTCTGTTCTAACCTTTCTGGCCACCTTTCGTTTCTGTACAGTTGGGGCGGTGGTATCATTGCCTTCAGAGTTTCTGCAGTGAGGTAGTTTAAGGGATACACGGGCTTACAGTGGTACCCAGTGCAGAGCATGAACTCACTGAACATGACTGACTGCTTCACTGTAGCTATACCCTTCGAGGATAGTAGCACTCCTCTTCCTTGATCCTATGTCCCCATGACTGCCTCCAGGGAGGACTGCATCTGCTGCTCACTCAGATGCATTAGGAAGCGAACCTTCTGATTCTTGGCCCGATGCAGGGCATCTGAAAGGAGAATTAGCCATGGCTTTCTTCACAGTCTGAGAATGCTCAGTGTTGCCCCTCCTGCTTGTAGGAACTTGAATGCAATCAGCGTATCTCACATTGGCTGGCCAAAGAGCCCGACTTCTAACAGCCTTGACAATGCTCTTCACGGCTCAGTGACATCACTGGGAACTGGCTTCTGAGGTGACATTGCTGAAAGGCAGGAGGAAGTCGGGACAGCTGCAGCCTGGCTTCTCCTGGGGTGCGTGTCTTGGCCTGTTCCGGTGTGCGCTGGAAGCTTAGTTGGAAGAAGACTGCTTTATGCTAGAGAAACAGAGCCTGCTACTGAGAGACCGCATGTTAGGATGTGACGTCCTTGCCTCCGGTCCCTACAAGGACTCACAACCTGAACTCGTGGACAATGCAGCTTTCACCTGACTGGGATTGTGCCCCACGACACATTTCATGTTTATTCTCCGATGGCCTTGTTTCTTGTTTGGCTTCCTAATTGCTGTGCAGCGGAGACTCCTGGATTTGGTGTTCTCTCTGGCCTTTGGGAGTTATCCCTTTACTTCATCTTCCATGTCAGCTCTCTGGACTTGTATCCTCTAGCCCCATGAGTCTCTCTGGACACCCCAAACCTCAAGGTGCTCTGTTTAGTCAGCTTCCTCATGCAGT